CTGGACATGGTCCTGAACAGGGTAAGAGGCACAGAGAGTGAGAGAGAGAGAGAGGGAAACACGAACTCCTACGAGGGGAACGCGCAGGCCCTCGCTCATTTTTCACTCATCCACAAACGACTTGCTGCACCAGCACGTCTTGCAGTGCAGGGGACCTGGAGCCAGGCAAAGCGAGTGCTGCTGGGAGAGAAGCGTCAAAGCTGAACGAAGCTTTGTGTCACAGCCACATGGGCAGCACCTATGGTGAAGCTCAGCTGCAGCATAGACACCACCAATGCAGAAGGAGAGAAAGCTCACAGCTCCAGTTTGAATCTTATGGTCAGACCCATTCGGCCCGAATACGAGAAGGCTGCGAACTTCGCAGCTGGTGTCGTTGACAGAGGTGTCTTCAGGTCAGTGGCACTGGCACTGTCCACTGTCCGATTGACATCCTTGAAGTTGGGAGACTCTCAGCGGCTGAGCCCCACTGGGGGGGGCAGGAGCCCGGCACAGGTTAAGCTGGGCGCCAGGCATAGAGAACTGCCGGCCGAGAGGGCGGTCCGGCGAGAAGTTGCCATCTCTGATGGCTATGAGAACTTCTTCCAATGCCCGCGCTGCGGGGATCAGGATGTGACGACTGTACGTCTCGGTGCTACGAGCATGGTCGCGGACGTGGTGAGCCAGCAGGCGGCGCAAATCCAGACCGACACATGGCTGCTGAGTCTCACGCTCTGCGTCTTCAGCAGCGGCGCTGGCCAGAGCACTGCGCGGCCATCGCGTGATTTCCTGGGAGGTCATCGGCCTACCTGCGAGGTCTCCGTCCGAGGTGAAGGCAACGGTCACTGACCCAAAGAGGATGTCCCCACTGGAGATAAGCCCAAGTTTAGCGCGGTGATTCAACCACCGAGGAACCCAGGCCTCCTCAGATATCACCGCTGGTGCAATGAGGGGCAAGAGTATAGACGACTCCTGGCGCCGGTGGCCGACTTGGCCTTGGCAACACAGACATGCATCCACATTGTGGCACAGGGGTCGTCGGGAACCTGAACGGAGAAGAAAAAGACACTTATTCTCTGTTGTGGAACGTGGCATGTGCAATCATTATGTTTGCGAAATATTTCCCACGAATATATTGAATAAATTCTCAAAAGAATTCTATTCAATAATGATAAAGTGTATTTATAAGAAAAAGGCTCGCGCACATCACTCTTTTCTTCCAACGGGGATTGCCACGAGTCCCTGCAGTCAGTTAGCAATGACCTTGCCCATTTTCAACCGATAGACCCCCCCCTTTACTCCAGACCCCATTCCATAACTACACCCCAATTTAACCCTCCATTTTCGCCCCAAAAACGCCCTCATATACCCTTATCCAATAAAAAACCCTTCTCAACATCACACCTCTCACCCTTAAACCCCTTCAAAAACCCAACCTTAAGACCCCAACCCCTAAACCTTGAAAATGGGCAAGGTTATTCTCGTAGAATTTAACTATAATAATACCTCCTACCCTAAACCCTTCCAAAAAAACCACCTTAAGACCCAACCTTAACACCAAACCTCCCCACGCACCCTTATCCAATACAAAACCCTCTCTCAAACACTCACCCCCTCAAAGCCTCAACCCTTAAACCCTTCCAAAACCCCAACCTTAACCTCCGAAAATGGGCAAGGTTGTTCTCGTAGAATTCTTAACAAAAAATATAACTATAATATAATCATACCCCATAACTTCTTATGAAATATAATTATATTATAATTATGGTTTCTAGAACCCATCAAATATCCTACCAAATTCCCCCAAGTAATGACCAAATTCATAATCATCCCTTGTATCATTATTAGTAGTTTTATTATTAGTAGTTTTATTATCGTTAATAAAATTATCTTGTATAGTCTCAATCATTGACATAATGAATGACCGCGACGCTTCGGCAGATGCCTCGTGAGGCATTCGCGACCAACATTTTTTTAACTCTATCAACTCTAAAAACTTCTTAAAAACGCGACAATAACAGAAGTTAATACATTCTATGTCTTCATCATCAAATCCTTTTGTTTTATATTCCTTATAAATATTTTCTTTAAAATTCAGTATTACCATATTAATATATGAATAGTTGTAAATGGTTTTACATATCATATATATTTCATAATCTGATTTATCAAATGTATTATCAAAATACATAGACGGTTTAATAAACATATTATTCATAACTGTTTCAAATGATGGAAAGGGATGATTTAATAATTTGTTATATTATTTCGTGTTAATATCTTGACTATAAAAAGACATAATATTAAATCTCAC